GTTTGTACGAGGGTTTGTGGTAAGGAGGAGCCGTATGTAACAAATTATCGTGGTAAAAACACCTTGGAGTTGGCTGCCGTTTGACTCGCTGTCTGTGGTAAACTTCTAAACTGGAAAACATCCTGGGCGACTGTTAAATGAGGCTTTGCAGCCTTTGACTAATGAGGCTTCGCAGACCTCTGATAATAATGGTTACAGTCCCTGCTGCCTGCCCTGCCTGGGCACCTGTGTCCACTCACAGATGGCTCCGTTACCACCCCTGCTGACCCCCAAGGAAGCCGAGATATTGAAAGACGAGTTAACAGCCCCAAACCACACCTCCATTAGGGCCTGCTGCCCCCTCTGGGGAAGTGAGAAAGTGTATTCCACTTAGGCAGCCTGCGGGTCCACGGCCACAAGGGATGTGCCCCGATGTGTCTGAGGTCCTGCCTACTTGACACAGATGTCACACTCGTATTTACAGTTTGTTTCCTAGGTGTACCAGAACTCAGGCTTTATGAAATTGAGAGGAACACACATGGACATGTCCACACGTGCGCACGCTGCGGTATTTCTGGGATGAATATATTTCTCTGTAGCTGCTAAACACAGGAGTTCTGTCTCCCTAGTCGGAGCGGGGACTCGCCTGTCTTCCTCACGGACTTTGACAGGATTCCGCCCATCCGTGCAACATGCCCAGGACCCGGCCGTCAGCGTGCAGCAGCGGGAAGGCGGCGTCCTTGGGGCTGAAACGCGGCAGACCGGAGCAGCTCTCGCACAGCTCCACGGGCCAGGAGGGCTCCGCCAGCCTGCTCTGTCCCAGGCAGGAGCCACACTCCTTCCAGAGGGCAGAGGTGCCCTCTGTTGGTGGCTCCTCTCCTTTGTTAGTGGGATGCAGAGGGACCGGACTTTACTCCCTGTCCTGCGCTAGCCACGGTCAGAACTCTGGAGGGAGCGGGGCGCTGAGACCAATCTCTGCCTGCCCTCCTGCCTGGGCTCCAGGGACGAGGACAGTGTGCAGTACCGCTCGGCAGCGGCTCCACCACAAGGCAGCCTGGCTCTGCAAAGCTCGGTCAGCACGCAGCTCTCCGGCCCATGGGCCCCGGCGTCCTCCTGCCCTCACGCAGCGGAGCAGCCATCTCCACTGACAGCCCCAGAGCTTATGGACAGGCATGACCGACGTGCACAAGATGCTCCGCCGGGCTCCCCATGGCTGGCTCTGCCAAGTCCCTGAAGCTGTCTGCTTGCTAAGGAGCGGATGGCCCTGGCCTCTGGTGCACGGAGCCAGCCTGCCTGCCTGAGGCGGTCCTGTGTGCCTGCCCAAGGCGGTCCTGTGTGCCTGCCTGAGGTGGTCCTGTGTGCCTGCCCCAGGGGGTCCTGTGTGCCTGCCCCAGGCGGTCCTGTGTGCCTGCCCCAGGCGGTCCTGTGTGCCGGCCCGAGGCGGTCCTGTGTGCCTGCCCAAGGCTGTCCTGTGCGGCCTTGAGCATTCCCTGTAGGAACCAAGATTCACCCACCTACAAGCGCTGGACTTGAGCCTGACTGCAAACATCGCGGCTCCCTCGTCCAGGCCCCCGGCTCCCTTCCCTGATAGTCACAGAGGTCCCGTGCGGCTGTGCAGGGCACAGCTGAGGGGCCGCGGCTTTCTCCACGCTGCGACACAGCGATGCCCTCACGCCGCGGCTGGGAGGCCCCATTTCCTGCCTTCTCGTGGAATCCACCACCTGCTCCAGGACGGCCTTGCTGCTGCCCTCTGCTGGAGGGCCGTGTGCACACACGTGATGTTTGAAGAAGAGCCGACACAGCTTGAGCGAGCTGGTTTTACGGCTTCCTCAGTGCTCTGAGTTCCTGCGGAGCCCAGGGAAGCACCGGGATGGGACGCTACTCAGCGCCAGGCGGAAGCACCACAGCTCCACGGGGCCGCCCAGGCTTGACTGACTCAGGGCACTGAGCGCCCACCTGCCCCGCGCGGGGCCTCCCGGGCCTGCCTTGCCCACGGCAGGAAGCGAGGACACCCGCAGACTGCACATTCCTCTGTGGCTCTGACACTGGACAACAGCTCGGCCGTCAGCGCCCTGGAGATGACCGTGAGCAAGCTGTTTCCTCAACACGCAGCGGGCTGCAGTGCACGCCCTGTGGAGCTGTGCGCAGTCAGCAGCTCCGCGGCCTCGCTGCGGGACCCCGGCCCTTCTCCGGGGCACACAGCAAGCACAGCAGGCAGCCGGCCAGACACTCTGCCCATCACAGCCCAGGTGCAGGGGAGGGCACTGCGCTGCCACGGTAAGCCCCTGCGTGGAACACCTGCACGCCAGCGCCTGGCTCCCCTCTGCTCCGGCTCCCTGCCAGCGTGCCTGCGAGGCAGCGGACGACTGTTCCAGTGCCTGGGCCCCGGCCACTCACATGGAGACCTGGATGGCTCGTGGCTTTAGCCTGGCCCAGCCCTGGCTGTTGTGGGCACTTAGGGTGTGACTCAGAGGATGGAAGACCTTCTATCTGTCTCTGCAGCAGAGAAAACTGAATAAAGAGGAGAGGAGAGCAGAGGAGAGGGGAGGGGAGAGGAGAGGAGAGGAGAGGAGAGGAGAGGAGAGGAGAGGAGAGGAGAGGAGAGGAGAGGAAAAGAAACCCCACAAGTGCAGGTGTGTGGATGGAAGCAGCTGCACCCCCGCTGTAGCTGACACCTCTGTGAAAGGGTCAGGGACCTGTGATGAGCTTCAGCTCCGTATCATCTCCACAACTTAAGGACAAGACAATAACAGGTCTGTTATGTCACATGGTACACACTGGACATACACACGTGTTGTATGTGTGCCCACACACATACACACAGAATAACTGTCAATGTTACTAATCACCCAAAAACAACCACCAGGGCAATAATGATGAAGATGATATCTGATTGCAAAACAGGTAAGCTTAGCCAGAATAACTCCATGTGACTTCTATTTATATGTAAAAACTAAACTTGGACACTGATTTTGCTTTTTCCTGTTTTGACTATGTTTGCATACTGTACAGGTAAGTTATGTCTGTCTGGGTGTCTCTGCATCACTTCTTTTTTTTTTTTTTTTGACAGGCAGAGTGGACAGTGAGAGAGAGAGAGAGACAGAGAGAAAGGTCTTCCTTTGCCGTTGGTTCACCTTCCAATGGCCGCCGCGGCCGGCACATCGCGCTGATCCGAAGCCAGGAGCCAGGTGCTTCTCCTGGTCTCCCATGGGGTGCAGGACCCAAGCACTTGGGCCACCCTCCACTGCACTCCCGGGCCACAGCAGAGAGCTGGCCTGGAAGAGGAGCAGCCGGGACAGAATCCGGCGCCCCGACCGGGACTAGAACCCGGTGTGCCGGCGCCGCAAGGCAGAGGATTATCCTAGTGAGCTGTGGCGCCGGCCTCTGTATCACTTCTGTGTTATGTCTGTACGTGTGCATATACAGCACTGCTGTTCTGTGTCTGTATACATGACCTCTACATATGTACTGGTCTGTATATGTGCCTTGTATGTTATGTGTGTACAGGTCACTATGCACCACTTGTGTGTCATATCTGTAACTGTCTGTATACCTCACTTCCACGTTGTGTCTCTGTGTGTCTGTATACCTCACTTCCACATCATGTCTAAGTGTCCATATACAACACCTCCGTGTTTTGTCTGTACGGGTCTGATACATTACTTCTACGTTAAGTGTGCATGGTTTCACATCTATCACTTCTACGAATGTAACTGGAATACATGGGCAGACACCATCTAAAGAAATTGATCTGAGAGTTCATAGGTGGATTTACCCCTAAAGCCACCATTATCCCACCATCATTTTCCACTCCAACGCTGGCCGCCCCTTTGTTCTGAGGCGCGGCTGCCCGTCTTTTGCGGGTGTGCTGCTGGCTTCTACTCCTTCCTCCCTCCTCTGCCACCAGGGAGCCCCTGCCTAGGCAAGCACCCAAGACAATTCCTAGGAAGACGGAATCAAGCAAACAGAACTGCGGGGACACCTGCCTGTCTCATCCCTGTTAATCAGCTCTCGCTGTTGTCAGCTTCCGGGCCTCTGTGTTAAAGTGATTCTCATGGAACTACAAAATACTGGAAAAGTGGCAGCGGTACATTTGGAATTATGTGTGTTTGCCAAGACAGACAGAATTATAACAAGGAAGGGACTTTCGGAAACAGCAAGATCCCAGGAAGAAGACACCCTGCGTGGATGACCCCGCTGGGCACCGCAGGCCTCAGAGGAGACCTTTCTATAAATAAGCAGAGGCCAGGCGGGCACAGGGCCAGGCAGTCGGCTGGCCTTTCGCACCTGAACTCGCAGGCCGGCTGTGCCTGGTGGGGGGGAGGGGTGCTTATTTTAGCAGCCAGAAAACTGCTCACAGCAGGGTGCTCTGTGGAGTGGAGCACATTTAACCTCTTGCTCTCTTCACTTCAGGAGTGCGTGGAGACAGTGATACACACAGGGTGGCGCTGCTTCCCCCGGGGCGAGGCCGTGGGAGGGAAGGCAGCCTCTGAGCTCCGCAGTCCTAATGGGAAACCGTGTTGGACCGCACCAAGGTAGGAGTCAGGCGCGAACACACACGCCCACTCGCGGGGAAGTGCAGAGAAAGCGGATCCTCAGGGCAGCAGAAGGCACAATGTCGTGAGACCAGTTATTTCCCAATCCCTCGAGTCGTTCTGTGCAGATCAGATGTGCCCACAGGGCCTGGGCTTTGGTGCAATTTCACTTCCCCATTCGTTACTTTTCACATTTATGGAACCGACGTCAGGCTCGCTAATGCCTGAGCGCATGGCGAGAGAAATGCCGCCGGAAGGGAAGCCTGGGGGATCTCGGGGCAGGGCGTGCAGGGGAAGGCAGGAAGCCAGAAACACAAGCCCGGGACGGACGGAGCCTGTGGGCCACGCGCAGGCGCTGCAGGAGGGCAGGAGGCAGCGTCCCGCACTCACGCCCCCACTTCTGAGGGTGAGGACGGAGCCACGGTCCTCCCGCCAGCAAGGACTTAAAACCAAAGGCGCGCTGAGCGTGCCCAAGCATCCACGTACCGAACACCTCGTTGTCCTCCGAGGTCCCGCGCGCGAGCTCTCCGAGGTCTCTCGCTCTTTCAGGTGCTCCTCTGCTAGGGCCCATGTCCTGCAGAAACGGCAGCGAGGAAACAGGTCCGTAAGACAAAGCGCTTCACCTGCAGACAACCGCGTGGGCTTCTCCCTCTGTGAAACTCCTGTGGGACGCTACAGCTTCCCGCCGCCCTGCTTCAAGCAGAGAACAGCCCTGGCCCGGGGCCGCTCCCTGCAGGGGCCCCTCCGCGCCTCCCCCAGCGCTCAGTGCTCTCTCTCTGCAGCCGGTTGCTCCCAGACAGAAGAACGGGAGCATCAGCCTGAATACAGGCGTCCGCTAAACGCCACCCAGGTATGCCGGGAGCTGCCCCACTGCGCACTGTTGTGGACCAAGGGGGACATTGTCGGGTGCAGCGGACACAAACCACACATCCCGGAGCTCCAGTTTTGGCCCCTGCAAGCCGCTGGGCCTGGCTGATAGCGGCTGGGAGGAAACCACAGCCCAGAGGCCCCGCCACGGCCCTGGAAGGAGGGGGCTCCTGAGCTCCCTGGGAATTGGCAGCCTCGGAAGCCGAGGGACTCTGCCCTCTCCTCTGGGCCTTCCTCTGAGGCTGGGCCCGAGGACAGCCCTAGGGTGGGCCCTGTGTTTTAGTTTAAGCACAATGTAGACAGTGGGTGTGGTTCCGCTTCTTCCCAGTTCTGTAACCAACCCACTCAAGACGCATTGGAAGGCGCCGTCGCCACATCCCGCTCCCTCACACCCCTCCCTCCCCACCTCCCCTTCCGGGGGCAATCAGTGTTTCTAGATCCTTCTGGGTTCCCTGCCGTGGTCTGTGCACAGTTGAGCGATGACGCTTCCTTCCCCTCCTCTCTCGACACGAACGGCCTCGCCCTGGCTGCGCTCTGCTTCTCAGTTTCCTCAGGGAACAGGGGCCCCCGGAGGTGACTACACATGGGCACCTGCAGAGCCCTGTGTCCCCAGCAGCCCAGCTCGGCTGGCACCTAACCAGCTGCGCTCAGCTCGTCTGCATTCGGTTTGTCAGTTCCGACTGGTGCTCACGGACCTGTTAACTCCGCACAGTGCACGGGCACAGGGGTTTCGGGAAGCTGAAGGAGTGCGGAGGAACCTTCCACAGCCGGTTCGAGGGCCCCCTGCAGTGCTGCAGTGGCTGCTCCTCCAAGGCTGCGCCTTCCACCCGGCCCCCGCGCTGGCCAGCGCCAGGCTCCACCAGGCCCCTCTCTTACTCCCTCTGCACCCTCCTCCCAGGACCACAGGCGCTGCACAGCCTGTTTTACTTCCCCTTCCTTCTAGAGCAAGGGTGGGACGGCTGGGCTCACACTGTGGCTGTGTGGCCACGGGCAAGTCACTGGGCCTCTGGGCCTCAGGCTCCTTACCGATGAGAAGGAGCCTGGCGTGGATGTAGAGAGGACCTCCTAAGCTGCTACTTAGAAGTGCTTGGAGCGTGCCTGGCCCCTAGAAACTGCTATGGAAGTGGCAGGGGCCCAGGGTGCGCATTAGCAGGAAGTGGGAATTGGGAGCAGAGCCAGGACTCGAACCTGACCCTCCAACACGGACGTGGGCATTCCCAGGGCGGCTCCCCTGCTGTGACAGGCGCCCGCCCCGCTGACGGCGTCCTCCAACACGGACGTGGGCATTCCCAGGGCGGCTCCCCTGCTGTGACAGGCGCCCGCCCCGCTGACGGTGTCCTGCAGGCCCTCTTCATAGAAAAGGTCGCGTGTTTCTTGCGCGTCTAAGGAAACGCTGGCCCTGCACCATCCCCTCGGCCCTGGTGTCAGGTGCTAAGGTGACCTTAACGGGACAAAGTGGCGTTCAGAGGGACCCGCTCCCAGCCACCACCAGATTCTCTCTACACCCGCAGGCCGCTCGGCACAGGCCGGAGTCAGAGCTGCTCACCAGGATAACCCCAGAGCAGAACCTCACAGAACCCGCTTATCTGGACGACAAGACGCACCATGAAAGCCAGGCAGGGCAGACCATGGTCAGCAGGGATGGACTGCGGCCTCAGCTCAGGAAGCGCTCGGATCTTTCCCATGTCCACCAGAGACCGCGACAGCTCAGCGCCCAGGCCCTGAGGGCCTCCACCACATGCTGCAGGCTCTGTCACACACAGGGATGCCCAGAGCACGAGTCCCTCTCCCCCAAGCCCACCACAAGGACAAACAGAGCAGCTGGGCTTACGCTGGATCATCCCCACGGAGCACCTCCTGTCATGAGCACCAGTGACTGTCACTCAGCTGGAAGGGCTGGGAGACAGCTTGGGCTTACACTGGATCATCCCCACGGAGCACCTCCTGTCATGAGCACCAGTGACTGTCACTCAGCTGGAAGGGCTGGGAGACAGAGTCCCAGCCACGGGGGCGCCCCCTGCAGAAAGGTTTGGAAGGTTCCAGTGGCCTGTGTCGGAGCTGCGTTCCCACAAAGCCGGGAAACGCGGTCCCAGGCCCTTGGGACTACTTGCTGTTACAGTCACACTCTAACAGGTCATTTTTTCGTGTCGTCTAAGCTTCCTGTGAAATAATGAACACAAAGAAATGTGCTCAGGGTTTTATTAAACACGGGCTTTTAGAAGTGGCACCAAGAAGACACTGGCCAGTGTCACAGTACGACTGCTTGCCCAGGTCTGTTACATAACTGTGCAGGCTCAGTCTATTTCGGGAGCACAAACACCTCGCCATTTACTCTGGGAGCTCCTCCTGCCTCAGCTGGGGACGTGGGATGCAGACGGCCGCTTCGGCAAGGGAAAGGCACGCGCACACGCGTGCACACACACACACGCATGCACATGTACTCACACACACACACACACTGATTCAGTCAGCGAAGCTGTTACTCCAACAGCTGGACAGCTGAACTTCAAGTTCAATGACAAGGCACGTCCAGCTACTTCACGCAAGGGCGTTTCTTCAGCTCAAAAGAATAATGTGCCAAATGCGTTTCCTCCCATTTTATTTTCTTACTTTTAAAGCTTATTTATTTGCAAGGCAGAGTGACAGAGAGGGAGACGGAGAAACAAAGAGATTTTTTCCATCTCTTGGTTCACCTCCCCTTCCCCGGTTGCCTGCAACAGCCAGGGCTGGCCAGGCTGCAGCCAGGAGCTCGGAACCCGGCCGGCCGGCCTCTGTGTGGGAGGCAGGGACTCGGGCAGTTGAGCCGCCATCAGCTGCTTCTTGGGACATCAGCAGGACGCTGGACGGGAAACGGAGCAACCAGGACTCGAACTGGCACTCGGTATGGCATCCCAAGCGGCAGCCTAACCTGCGGTGCCGCCACACCTGCCCCTCCACCTTTTATATATCAAATACAGACTTGGTTTTCCCTCAGAAACAGCAAGCCACGCGTGCCCCCGCACTGCAGCGGGCGTAGGCGGCAACAAGGTCAAATGTTTAAAGACAGACTTGTCTGCTCCAAAGACAAACAGGTGCACGCCGACAGAACACAAAGGCCCCTCTGAGCCTGTGAGTGACCGCAGCCCTGCCACCCCTCACCCTCTCGGCCACCTCTGCAACACAGGACATGACAGTCTGTCTCAGGGCCACCGTGAATGCAGTCAGCGCTGGGCGTCCTTGGTCAGTTTCTGACCCCGGGCCATGGTCAGGGCTTTGGAAAGGTGGAAACAAATACTAACGTCGTGACGGCACACATCAAGAAGTGAGGGGAAGGTCCACTCGGAGTCCGATTGCACCTGGGCTCCGGTGCCCTCCCTGCAGGGGGAAGCAGTCACTGTGCAACGTTAGGGGCTCCAGCCCCCACAGCTCTCCCCCAGCCGACCCTGGGAGTGGACGGAGCCCTGCCCCAGCCTGCTCCAAGAGCTGCCCTCCCCTGCCTCCACGCTGGACAGATCGGGTCATGAGAAGGTCACTAGGAAACCCAACGTGTTTCCAGGTCGGCCTGCACACGGTGCCGTGCTGCAAGGTGGTCACCGCCATCAGCCAGGAGCGGTTCCTCCCTCCTTCAACGCCTGCACTCGGGCTCTGCACGCGCAGGCTCAGGAGCCATTCTGTCGTCCAGGCAACCACCCGCTCCTATGTCATAACTGATAACAGCCCAGCTGGAATATGGTTACAAGAAAACGCAAAGTCACCAAATATTCTGAAAAAGGCCTCTGCAGAGAGTTCAGCTCACTCTAACAGGTCATGTGACAGCCCTGTTCTCCAGGAAGCGAGCGCACCGAGCAGGCTTCCCCGGGTTACTCACGCACCCACACTTTCCCTCTACGCACTCAGGGAACCGCGGCTCTGAGAAGTCCCAGCAAGCTCCGGCTCTTCGGTTCATCCACGTCGCTACGCACGCGAGGAGGACACAGCAAAGGCTGGTCCCTTTTCAAGGCCGCGTGGCAGGAAAGCTGAGAGCTACCAGGTCCCTAAACAGCGTGAGCAGCTCTCTTCTGTCCAGCTGCGTATCTGACATTCCAACAACAACACGGAAAGAACGGCTCACCAGGAATGCACTCCCGTGACCTCCCTAAGCACTGTGGAACACGCCGTCACGGCCCACTCAACAGCAGAGACGCCCCGAAGCTTGTGTTTGGTCCACGACATCTGACAATAAACGCTTCTTCAACCACTATGGCCTTTATAATTTCAATAGAAAAAAACCATCGGAGACTCGTGCTTTAGGGAGCAGAGCACAGCAGAACCATTGCCATGACAACTCACCCGGCTCGGGCCAGAACAGCAGCGAGCCACACACCCGCTCTGGGAGAAGGGACCCCAGGGCGTGGCTACGGCGAATGCATCACCCGCCGTCCTTGTGTTCGCTGCGCGTGGACGGAGAGGCTCCCTGGCCCAGCGAAGGGCCCGTGTCCACTGCAGCCCATGATGCTCAGGGTGCTGCTCGCGGCAGGGGACGAGGAGTGGGGAGGGGAGAGAGAGAGAGTTGGAGATGGAGAGGGGTGTGTGAGAGGGAGGGAGGGAGGGAGACAGGGAGAGAGAGAGGGGTGTGTGTGTGAGAGGGAGGGAGAGAGGGAGGGAGAGAGGCCTGCTGTGCTGAGAGAGAGAGAGAGAGGCAGAGCTGGAGACAGAGAGGGGTGTGTGTGTGAGAGAGAGAGAGGGAGG